GTATTGATTGTTGCTAGTACCGAGTGCACCAGGTACACTTAAAAAAACAGCTAGGTGAACAAAAAAAAAATCGCGTGAAGGAGGTCCTTACCCTTTGGGTCCATGGTACCAACAATCAATTCGAAACTAACGATTTTAAATTGGCTCACTACTTGACTAGCCTATTGGTCCCAAGCAAATGATTAACGTACCCCATTCTAGTCGAAATTCTAGTACTACACTATGTTTGACGATGAGGGGTTCATGGATTTTCTTATGTTTTGAGGGGTGCATCGATTAGCTTGGGACCGAGCTGAGCCAAAAAGTTGAGGTCGATTCTTCGGGACCTTCTGGTCTTAGAATTAGCTCTATAGTTGTACCAACAATCAATACGAAACTAACGATTTTAAATTGGCTCACTACTTGACTAGCCTATTGGTCCCAAGCAAATCGCAAACAACAGTGTACCATAGAGGTAACTCTAAGACAAGAAGGTCCCGAAGAAATGTGCTCAACTTTTTGGCTCAGCTCTGGTACTCTCTTCGATCCCAATCTAATCTATTCACCCCTCGAAACATAGGAAAATCCACTAACCCCTTATTTTATCTGTCAAACTTTCATAGCGAATCAAAACAAACATTGTGTAGTACTAGAATTTCGGCTAGAATAGGGTACGTTAATCGTTTGCTTGGGACCAATAGGCTAGTCAAGTAGTGTGCCAATTTAAAAGGTATTAGACAGATAAAATTAGCGGTTCGTGGATTTTCCTATGTTTCGCGGAGTGCATCGATTAGCTTGGGACCGAATAGAGTACCAGAGCTGATCCAAAAAGTTGAGCACGTTTCATCGGACCGTCTGGTCTTAGAGTTACCTCTATGGCCTTAGGCTCTGAACCATTTGGTAGATTTTTTTAACTTTTGGTTAAAATTTGACAGATAGAAAGTTATCGATTAACCCTGCTATTCGAGCGTGGTTATTTCTGACGGACAAGAAGTTAAATTTTGACGACCGTGACTGAGTTCTGCTCGACAACCGATCGATCGGTAACACAGGGATTTTCGAACATAAGAAATAAGTTATAACTTTCGAAATGTCACTTTTAACCAGGCTTGTAATTGCTCATTACAGCTAAAATGCTATATAGTTTTCGTAATTATTACGCTATGAGATACTATAATAATAATTTTAATTTGTAAGAAGCAAGAAGAGGTGGAAAAGTTTGTGGTTGACATATAAAATCTGTCAATTTTGCTTTCAGAAGGTCACAACTAGCGATTTTATGATCGCTGATTGCTCGCTCATCGTTACAGCTAATCGCTATTGTGACCCTCTGAAAGCTAAATTGACAGGATTTATGTGCTATACACACACTTTACCTTCTCTTCTTGCATCTTGTAAATAACAATCACAGACAAACAGACATAACTCATTGAATATTTCTCACTGTAAAACATCGTCGCTAAAACATTACCGCCATCTGTTGAGTACACTATGGTGGGCACTACGCTGAACAGATGGCGGTAGTGTGTAAACGTCAAACCTGTGCGCGCCACAGGTGGTGGTACTACCAACTACGATACTTTTAAATTGACCGTTAAATGCTTGTTCGATGAACAACTTCCGAGTGTTATGTCTGTTTGTCTGTGTAACAATTATGATTAAAATATCTCATAACATCATAAATCCGAAAAATATATTTTTAGATGTAATGAGCATTTGCAAGCTTGCTTTTAACCACGAGTTAAATTTAACCCGGCAAATGGTTAACAGCCTTCGGCTGTGGCATATTCGGTGAATGTTCACTTAAATTTGACAGATGAAATTTTTTCAAATAAACCTCCCATTCCACCCATTCTACCAGACCTATTTCTGACAGACCAGCAATCAATTTTGACAAACTATTTCTCGAAAATCGGACGATCAACAACAGAGGGATTTTCGAACATTATAATTTATTTTCGAAGAGTCAAATTTTAGTGAAAATTCACTAAATTGTGTACAGCCTTAGGCTGTGAACCATTTGCCGAGTTAAATTTAACTCGTGGTTAAAAGTGACATTTCGAAAGTTATTTTCTATGTTCGAAAATCCCCGTGCTGTTGATCGATCGGTTTTCGAGCCAAGGTTGTCAAAATTTAACTTCTTGTCTGTCAGAAGTAACCACGCTCGGATAGCAGGGTTAATCGATAACTTTCCATCTGTCAAAATTTAACCAAAAGTTAAAATAATCCACCAAATGGTTCAGAGCCTTAGACTGTAATCGAGAATTTTCGAGAAGGTATTTTTTTCAATATGGATTGCTTGTCTGTCAGAAATAATTCTGGTGCAATACCAGGGTTATTTGAAAATTTACCCATCTTTAAAATGTAAGTGAACATTCAGCAATGGAACACAGCCAAATTGAATCCAACATGTGTTCGATTTCGACGTTCTATGGGATTTTAGATTTTGGTTTAGAGTCCTATGCTGAATCAATGATAAAATGAACAAGCAGCTTAGATGTTCCATTTTCATGCTGGTTTCAATCAGCGATGACATGAAGGCACAGACAAACAGACATAACACTCGCAAGTTGTTCATCGAACAAGCATTTAACGGACAATTTAAAAGTATCGTAGTTGGTAGTACTACCACCTGTGGCGCGCATAGTCAATTCCCTTGCGTTTGACGTTTACACACTACCGCCATCTGTTCAGCGTAGTGCCCACCACAGTTTACTCAACAGATGGTGGTAATGTTTCAGCGACGATGTTTTATGGTGAGAAATATTCAATGTGTTAAGTCTGTTTGTCTGTGATGAAGGTATCATGATTTTGTGCATGATAAATGGATGGGTTTGAGGCTGTAAAGCTGTAGTTTTCATGCAAAACAGCTAGACTAGATCATTTCCAAGTCTCGACAATGAATTATGAAGGCTACAGCTCGGGCTATAGTATGTTGAATATTTCAGAAGTATAACGAAAAGTTCAATTCGTCTAACGACTACAAGTTATGAACAATCTCAATTGAATCTTTGAAAACCATGAATTTTGTGATAGCACACATATTATTAAAACGTTAGATAAAAACTCATTGTTCGCCATTAATGTTAAGGTGATACTCTAAGGAAGCCTTAGCATGAAACTTTAAAGGCACAAATGTCAGCTTCCACAAAACATACAAATTTGAAATTGCTACTCCTTGTTTGCTGTGCTACTACAAACAAAGAGTAGCAATTTCAATTTTGTATGTTTTGTGGAAGCTGACATTTGTGCCTTTGAAGTTTTACGCTAAGGCTTCCTTAGAGTATCACCTTAAGCAAAGCAAACATTGTCCTCCTTTATCTCCAAACCTCAAATGAAATTCCCTCTTTTCAAGTTTTTGATATGGTATCCCTAATAAACAAATACCATAAATGAACTGTATCTTGGATGGGTAAACTATCTCACAAATGGTTGTGATGATACCCCGAACACGTCGTTAAGCTCTCTTTTATGGTTATTTGTATTAGGGATGGTAACCCTAATTATTATCCTATTCTTAAGAATCGTAGAAATTTTTTGAAATTCTGCCATTTTCAGAATATTTGTTGTTCCATGTTTTGAAACAGCAAGTTGAGAAAAACACTGTCGATGATTTTTTTTGGGGTTGCATTATAGTCGCTACACAGACAAACAGACGTAACTCTTTGAAAAAGTTTTTCTTGAAAACATAGTATCTCAAAAGATAGGACCTCAGTAGCGACATCTTTCAGGCTTCGCGCGGAAAACAAGCTTGCTCTCTAACTCGCAAACAATATTGCATAAAAGTTCTATAGAATGTATAGAAACGTCAAAGTGATCCGATGCCAGCGCTGCGGCGAGTAGTTCGCGGAACAGATAATATTCAAATCAACCGTTAAATGCGTGAACGAAGATACACAATGAAGAGTTACGTCTGTTTGTCTGTGGTCGCTATATTAATAGTCTGGCGGATAGAATTTCTATCTATCAAAAAGCGGAACCATTTCAATATATTGTAGACCAACAATTGAAAAGGTACTATCAACTTTTATAAATAAAACGTTAATTATTATTCTTTCCTCGCCAATCGAACGCAAATTACCAGTATCATCGGATAGGGGAAACTTTTCCCCAACTCAAAGATGGTGTTAGTTTGCGTAGGCAAGCCTTGAGTCACCAGAAAAGGGTTTCCAAAGTTTTGATCGCAATAACTGATGTGATCTTTTCTGTTGTTGCTCGTGATTTGCTCGATTGGTTCCGCTATTTGACAGCTCAATTGGTTCCCGAGATTCTATCCGCTAGACTATGAATATAGCGACTATAGGTGGCATGTGTGTACGGCCCATACAAATTTCCAATAAAAAAAAATGTATGGACGATTGCCTACACGGGGGGAAATTTTAATCCAAACGGCATGGCTTCTAACAGCACTTTTATAGTTTAGTTATGGTTAGGTTTCTTTATTTAAGATTTCAGGCATTGGCTTAAAAACTTTTATAGTTTATTATAGCTTTATTTACGATATTTTCGTGATTTAATTGATTTAACGCTCCATACAGTTAAACTGTGCGTTGAGAGGGCCTATCATCTTTTGAAAACAAAACTTGTAGGCCCGGTGGTGTTGTTGGTTTGCGCGGAAAGGGCCCTAACAAGTTTTGTTTACAAAAGAAAATTCTCTGATTATTCCAGAATTTTCCATGCAACTTTAAATTTCTTGATATTTCTATCTGGGCTCTGGACTTGCCTCACCGAACTCGCCCGCCATGCAACGATCAACACCGATAGACGACGCACCCAATTACCTGCACACTAAGATGTCGCCTCTTTATGAATTCAAGCTCTTTTACTGCACACTTGTTTTTGCCGAGATGGGCACCACCGAGCAGCTCGGCATTTTATTTTGCTGGATCTCAGTGAAAAACTTGCCGAGATTCAGCTAACCCATCTCGGCAAAAAAAAAATCTAAGTGTGGTGGGTCAATTTTAAGTCCATATTTGTGACAGAAAAGGGCATACTTTAAAACACGGAAGCGACATTTTAAATCCATTTTTATTTCAACTTGTGTTTAGATTACTTCTCTCTCTCTCTCTCCCTAGCTCAAAAAAAGCCTTCATGGCGAACAAAACAAAAAAGAAAAGGAAGGAAAAAAGCAACTGAAAATTAATTCGATTATCGTAATAACATCACATTTCGAAGAAGATCATTACTACTTAGCTACGTTCTCTATCGTAAAATAGTAGTCAGGGCAAATGCAAACGAAGAGGTTCAATTTCCAAAAGCGTTGTGCCGGGCGTAGGCCGCGAATCGCACGTAATCCTGGATCATCGTCATCTGGTTCCAATAGTGGGACGTCCAGCTGGCATACGACCGATGGTAGCGATTGGTGGCATTCTTCGATCGCTTGGAAACCTTCCGTTTCTTGGCTCCTGCCTCCTGTGTTTGTGATGCATCATGCTGCTGCGGCTGCTGTTGTCCCGCTGCTGGCACATTGGCAGCATTTTGTCCGGGCGCTTCCGTTTCCCATACCCGTTGATCGAAGAATGACGAGTTAGAAGATTCGCTGTCATACTGAGAGGAGTAGGAACTTGCATCATCGGCTTCCTCTGTGGCGGATACGGTATCGGGAATCGGGGGCAGAGCTTCCGGTTGATCGCCCTGCTGGCTTACTCCACCGGGGATTACACCGACGGAGTTCGATTGCAGTTCCATGGAATTGTCATCTTGCTGCTGGAAGCGGATCCGCTTGGGGCGGTTATCCTGCGGGACAACGGCTTCTTCGGGTTCGAAAGCGGATCCATGGTTGGAACCGCACGTGTTGGAGTTAAGATCGAAATTGGCAGCTTCCTCTTCTTCCTCCTCGACGGATGGTTGCTGCTGGAGCCGGGATGGATCAAGCGTGATAGCACTTGGAACCACGTCCGGAACGGACCCTTTGCGAGAGTTGATGTCCCGATCGCTGATCGGATCATCGTGCACTTCCAAGCTGCAGCCGTCAATGGAGAACTGTAACGGTCGGTGTTGTTGACCAGCTCCCAGTTCCTTTTGTTCCATGATCTTGGCAAACAGGGCATCGTTATTCACCTCCAGGGGAAGGCAGTTCTGTTGAGTTGGGATTCCTGGGTCAGAAGCTCGATCGATTTCCGACGAATTGTTGGAGCTCGATGAGCTCACCTGATGATCCGGGACAGCACCGCGGATTTCCTGGACTCGAGAGTTCGGGGTGGTGAAATTTGAGCCAACTTCAACCTTTTTGGTGGCGTTTGAGCTGAAAGAACTGTCTGTAGTATAGCAAGATTCGGGTGTTGAACAGCTGAGTTCCGATGATGGCGTGGATGATTGTTTATCCGAAGCTTCCGCTGATGTTTGCTCAAGATCAACTTTCTGCATGGCTGCAAGAAAAAGATCATCGACATTTTTCCCGTTGGAAATAGGGCATTCGCTTTCATCTGCCACCATTTCGACGGGATTTTTGTCCACATTTTGAGATTCTGCGGCATTTCCATTCTCAATGTCGAGCTTTGCTTTTTTCGTTATCTGGATGTTGTCTTCGGACGTTAATGGATCACCGGATTTATCGTTGGCTTCCTCCAGCTCCAACCTGTTCATGGCAGCCAAAAACAGATCATCTACATTAGCCACTGGCATTGACGAGCTTGCTTGATCATTTTCATAGGCATCAAGTACCAGCTGCACTTCACTGTCTCCGAATTGGAGCTTGTTTTGGGAGACCAGCTCCAGATGGTTATGTTGCTGCCCCTCTTCGGCGTCCACCTTTTCAATGGCAGCAAGGAACATATCGTCAATATCATTGGTATCATTCTCGTCCGGGCACCCCAGAGGGAACCTTCGAATTATCACCTCCTCTTCTTCTTCATCTATCTCTTCCGGTTCCTTTTGTTGCTTGGACTCGAGCGAATCAGCTGACATGATGGTATCGACTTTTTGGGCTTTCTCTTCCAGACTATCCTCCAAAACAGATTCGGTCGACTTCTGTCCCAATTCCGTTTTGGAATCCACTTCTATAATCGTTTCCAAGAACGTACGGTCCGCCCCTTGATCACGGATTTCCTGCTCCAATGCCGAAGCGTACAGCTTTGCATATTTGTCGCCATACTGCTCAAAGCTCCAAATTTCTTCCATCTTCTCTGTTGGAAGATGATAGACAAACGTTTCGTTACCGCCAATGTTGTGTAGGATTTTGCGAAAACGTTCCATCTCTTTGGCCGATGATACCAGTGTGATTGAGACGGCTTGGGTGCCGAAACGTCCAGCACGTCCAATTCGGTGGAGATAGATCGAATTGTCCTTCGGAACATCAACATTAACCACCAGGTTTACATTTTCGGCGTCAATTCCTCGTGAGATGACATCCGTCGCGGTCAAAACTCTGCATCGAAACTGCTTCAAGTTTTCAACTGTCTTCAACCGAACCCGTTGCTCCTGTCCACCTCGGATAACTTCCGCAGGCCATCCAGCTCGACTCAAGTAGCTACAATAAGTCTCAGCCTTGGTTTGTGTGTTGGCAAACACCAAACATTGTCCGTACGGAACCTTCTTCAGTATCTGATTTAGTTCGGCAATCTTTGCCATCATCTCCTTAATATTGTCCTTCGCTTCGGGCAATTCCCGGACAAACTGCCGAATTCCTTGAAGCACCGGTATCTCCTTCTTCGGGGTCACTCCGATAAACTTCTCGTTCAAGTATGTACACAATTCGCGATCCCTGTTGTTGTAGAAGGTGGCACTGCACACTACCGTTTGCCGTTTGGTTGGCACCATTTTGACAATCTGATTCACTTCCGATTTGAGCGTCCCGGAAATCAACGAATCCGCTTCATCCAGCACTAAAATCTTGATCTGGCTCGTATTCAACACATTACTCTTTATCAGATGATTGATCCTTCCCGGAGTTCCGACCACTGCCGAACAGTTCTGCAAGTTCTTCCGGTCCTGACTGATGTCCAATCCGCCGATGAAACTTTTAGCCCGGAAGCCCGGAACAGAATACCCGATCCGATTCAACACGTCCTCAATCTGCACCGCAATCTCCCTTGCCGGTACGATCGTCAACGATTGCGGAAATGTGACATCCGGGTTGTGATTCTCGACAATCATCACGGCAAACACCAGTGTCTTTCCGGTTCCGGATTTTGCTTGCACCAACAAATCTAGAAAACAAAACAAAACAAAAATCTCCAAGCACACAAAAATCATGAAAGCGACCAATTCCATACCTAGCCCGAGCTTTGCAAGCGGGATTGCACGTGCCTGGATGGGGGAAGGGTGGATGAAGTTGTTTCGCGTCAGGCCCCGTACCACCGGTTCCGAGAGGAACATTTTCGAAAACTCCAAACTCGGATCAAACTCGACATCTGCCGTGCGAGGCCGTTCGTCATTCAGGTTGTGAGCGGCCATCCTGGATCGGATTTTAATCTGGATTTCACTTTTCTGATTTTAGTTTTTCGCACTTTTTTCTTTGATGGCAGCAAAAGACGATGGATCAAAAGTGATTTGCGTCTGTTTGCTCACACTTTTGCTACTGGAATGAGATGGAACAAGAAAAGAGCTGATTGGCTAGTCGTAGTGCGTGTCATTTGGAACGGTGGTGATCATTTCGGAGAAGCGAAAGAAATTTTTATTATCGATTGTTGTGAGTGGGGATAGGAAACCGAGAAATAAATCATTGCCGACATTTCATTAGGGCGAAATTGCCTCAATGAACAATGGCTTCAACTGCCGATTTCTCGCAAATAATGCGATTCCTTTTTCGGCGTTCATTCTGTCGATCCAACCTACACGAAGAGGCCAAAAAGCAGGTAAAATGTAACATTGTTTTAGATAAATACAAAGATCTACATGTTTGTTTGAAAACAGGTTATCGAGCAGATTTAAACTCGCCGTGCTGATAAGTTTAGTCTCATTCTAGACGAGTGGACTACCCTAATAAAAATGCTATGGTTAATTTGCTTAACGACGTGTTCTGGGTATCATCCAAACCATTAGTGGATTAGTTCAATCATTTGGGTTATCGTTCGTTTATGGTAATTTTTTATTAGGGTAGTCTCCAAAACAGGAGATATCTAAATTGTGTCTAAATGTTAACTTGCATTGTGCAGATGGAACGTCGTTCAATCTTGGATTTGCTAGAATAGAGGGATCTGGTACTGTTGAACATATTGATTTGATTCAGGAGAAATTGGTAGAATTTGATATGACCAGCGCAGATGCTCGCGCAGATGTAATTGGGTCAACCACAGATGGTGCGAAGGTGATCCTCAAGTTTGGTTCTATAACAGATTACCTGCAACCATGGACTTCATTTGGCTTTTTCGACGTCCTTTAGGAAGACGTGTTGTTCAGTATACTGATTCCAGTTCTGATGAATCAGAATCTAAATTCTATAGTGTATGTATCTCAAGATGTATATATACCTGCCGTATACCCCAAGTCAAATCGATCTTGTTGCGTATCAGACATATAGTCAACAATCAATACGAAACTAACGATTTTAAATTGACTCACTACTTGACTAGCCTATTGGTCCCAAGTAAATCGATTAACGTTCCCCATTCTAGTCGAAATTCTAGTACTACCCTATGTTTGTTTTGATTCTCTATGAAGGTTTGACAGATAAAATGAGGGGCTCGTGGATTTTCCTATGTTTCGAGGGGTACATCGATTAGCTTGGGACCGAAGATAGTACCAGAGCTGAGCCAAAAAGTTGAGCTCGTTTTTCGGGACCTTCTGGTCTTAGAGTTACCTCTATGATATAGTGAAGCCAGGGTTACTTCCACTCACTTGCTATAAAAAAATGTTTTTCGGAATTATGTAATCATGAAATAGTTTAATGCTAATAAGTACTTGTAAGTTACAAGAAGAGGTCATGAAGTATATGTCTGACACATAAAATCTGTCAATATTGCTTTCAGTGCGTCATAATCAGCGATTTCACGACTCGTGAGCGCTCACTCTGAGTGAACGTTCACGAATCATAAAATCGCTGATTGTGACGCTCTCAAAGCGAAATTGGCAGGTTTTATGAGTTAAACACATACTTTACACCCTCTTCTTGTTACTTACAAGTGCAACATAGCATTATAACATCTAATGATTGTATAATTCCGAATAATATTTTTTTATAGCAAGTGAGTGGAAGCAACCCTGAGTGAAGCTTTTTAAACGTTCGCCTTTGAAAAATGGACTTCTTCAAAGAAATGTTTCGATAGCTCATGGAAAGGAACTTTTATTGGAAGTATAGACCAGATGGAACAGTGTGGAAACCACAAACGAAGTGACAGACGACTAACTGGCGAAGAAATCCATTTAAATAATGTGGTTCACTGTAATAGAATTTTCTTGGAAGCTTGTGCCATCATCAACCAGATGGGTTAGTTTTTTTGTTTTGATTTGAACGAAGTTGATTTTGTGTACAATGATTCTTTGACAGTGTGCAAAGAGTGCGTATCATTTTGTCATTTTTTTATGCATTTCAGTTTTGAGTAGAGTGAAAGAGATAGAACCAAAACATTCTTGTACATTTGGTGAAAATGCTAGTTCAATCTAGTAGTAGTGTTGCCATGTGGTACAATCCAGTAGTAGTGGTGTTGCCATGTGGTACACTGAAAAATTGCAATAGCATGTTAGTCACCAAAGTTTTCGAGCCGCTCCGTCTGTCACTTCGTTTGTGGTGGAAACTATGCTAGCACACTCATGTGTCGAAGAAACTCTCGGTGAGCTAAATCTCAAGCATCTCTGACAATCTTTATTTTTCTTGGGAAAACATCATCTATATGTTTTAATAGAGCACAATTCAAAAATAGCTGCATTAGGAATAACAATTACCATTATTACTTTAATCACATAAATTCGAACTTCACATGCTCATTTAACTTTCCGTAATTAAAGTTGGTCCAATATCAATCAAATCTTCTTCTTCTTCTTGCTTGATTTCAGTAACCGTGGCTGATGTTTCCTTTGAGTCATTTTGCTCAACTGAATCCGGGTCTTTCTGACACACCAATGGTGTTATAGATGGGTCCGTAAATTGCCCTACTGCAGTAACTAGCATCTTCTTTGGACGACCTCTATTCTTAACATGCACCGGTTCGAGCAGGCTTTCCTGATCATGACTAGGTGTTTCACCTAAATTTCGATCACATTCTCTTGCCACAATCCTTTTCTTGATCTGTAGAGCATCAAAAAGTTGGCAGTTGGTCTGACTTACCAACGGTTTTTCGCATGCATTCGATGTGACTGTTGCAGTGACCGGATTCTTCTTAGGACGACCTCTTTTCTTAACATGCAGAAGTTTGAGAAGATTTGATGTTTCGCCTGATTGTGTAGGATTTGTCCCTTCATCCTGTAGCATAACTGAGTTGGGATCTACGAAATCATTCAACTTTTGCGGGGCCTTACGTATCCGTTTGATCGGTTTGATAAACTCCTTCAAATGACGATCCGGGTTGCGATGGCATTTACTATGGTTGGCAAGGCTTTGCAAGTGAGAAAAGGCTTTCTCACAGAACGAACACTTGTAGGGACGATCGTTCGTGTGTTCGGTCTCTCGATGGGTGCGCAACTCATCGGCCAGTTCAAACGTTTGCGAGCAGTGCAGGCAAAATAAACGACCATCGCGCATGTGCATTACCTCGATGTGTCGTTTCATATTGCAGTCTTGGGAGAAGGATTTATCGCAAATTTCGCATCTTAAAAGAAAAAAAAGGGGCGTTGCGAATAAGGTTTTCAATAGCTTAAGATCTAAGTGATACCTGGAATGTTCTTCAATTCGATGGGATCGCAAATGCTTCCGTAAGCGTGGGATGGTATGAAACCTCTTCGTGCAGTGTCTGCATTGAAAGTTGCGCTCTCCATGAGTTAGGTAGTGATTGGAATATTTCGTCTTAGAATTGAATGTAGCATTGCAGAGCACACAAGAAAAAGTTTTCTCGTTGGAATTATGTGGATGGACAGTTTTCACATGTGCACGTTTTTCTTCTATTTGTGCGAATTCTTCCTTGCAAAACGGACAGGAAAAACGCTTCACGGTGTGAACAATCATGTGACCTAAACCGAAAACTTACATTGATAAAACTCGTTTTGATTGTGCACAGAGCTGCTTACCTTGAAGATCTTTTTTCTGGGGATAACTTTTTTCACAAATATTGCATTTAAATGGACGATCTTTTGAATGTACTTGCTTCTTATGTTTAACTAAATTTCCACTCTCTGAAAATGCTTTATCTGAAAAACAAAATGCACCATTGCACGTCAATAATGTGCAAACAGTCTCATTTACTCACCGCACATGTCACATTTGAATTTTTTTTCATCAGAATGCGTACGCAAGTGACGCAGCAACCTCCAATGCTCTATAAATGTTTTGCTACAAATTTCGCATTTCGGCATCGTTGAACCGCTGTGCTTTTCCATTTGATGTTTTGTGAGATCCCATGGCTGTAAATAGTATTCGTTTGCCAAGCATGATTCACTTCATGTTCAGTACGATGTCATACGAACCTTGAAAAACCGTTCCGAGCACATGTCACAGTTCAAAGGCTCTCCATGGGTTATTTTATGTTGATAAAAATCGGCTGTCTTGCGGAAACGTTTCCCACATAGTTCACATTCATAATGAAGTTCCTTTTTGATGGAGTCTAGTGTGACAATTGGATTTTTTTGGCCCCGTGGTGTGTTCATGTACATGGGATCCGGTACGTTGCGTAACGAGTCCACCAAGGCCTCACTGATGAATCCATCGTCATAGGATGCTGATTCCGAGGCTGATTCGTTGACAGTAGGCTCTTCGAAGGGTTCCTGCTTGATTACCGGTTGACCATTCGAAGAAGGATCGTTTATGTCAGCATCCATGATGAACTCTGATTACACATTAAACAACAACAATAAGGGATTCGATCAGACTATTTTTTAAGCTTTAGTTTACCGTGATTGCACATATTTTGTAATGTGGGCAATATCGAGTAATTGGTGTATTTTTCCTTACTGTAGATTAATGATTTAAAAAAATGTTACTTACTTACTCATCCCTTTCTTATGTTTTTATATAAAATGGGAAACAATCGATAGAACTCTTTTTGCCAGTGGTGGCGGGGGGGAGGGGTTTGGGGTATACCCCTCACCATTCCTCTCCAACGGGGAAGTTTGGTAAAGAGAGATGATCAAACCGGTTTGTACCTTCCTAAAAAGTTGTCCTTGCTCGCTTTCTACTCTCTATATATAATTTTCACACTGCCGTTCTCTAACAGAACTATCAACTCTATACTTTCATCTTCTCATCTATCGTATAAAAATTACCACTTTAGTTTGTTATTTGAAATAAACATCTTCAACTATAGATTGTCTGTTTATTTATAGAATATACAAATAATACGTCCCTATATACACCTCGAGTACATACGTAACTCCATGGCCTACCGATCGGTGTAATTTAAAAAATCATTTTCATATCGTTTTTCGACTTGAACTTAATGATAACCGCTAGCTCCTTTCTCCTCTTCAATCCTGTAAGTTGCAACAATCACAAAAACATTCGCATTCAGTGCTTTCTCGTTTTTGTTCGAGTGGGTTGCATTTTTTTTAGTAGGTACATCGTCTCATGACTAGTTTTAGTTTTGCTTTGATTCGCCAATTACATCTAGGGCATCCCATTCTAAACTTTGTATTCCTTGCGAAATACTCAAAAAGATCTTACTGATATCTAAGATATCTAAAAAATACTTAAAAATACTTAAAAATACGAAATATTTAGCAGTTTGTTATTTCATCTGCTAGGCAAATTTCATTTGATTGTTAACACGATGACATTAGTATTTTATCCAATTTTATATTATTTATTGATTTTATCTTCTTTTATTGTAGAAAAAGAGGAGGAAACCATTTCGATTAAAAAAAGTCGTTAAAATAACGATTCACGGTTCCTTCAAAGAACAGGATAAAGAACTATTTGGGAAGATACTGTGGCAGATACCCCTCTAAATATCACCATCCCTTGATATTGCTGGATTTTTGTCCATTAGGAATTTGACCATGATACGATAACTCCTGTATTCCTGTTGTATTTATTTATTCTAGAAGTGATCCACATTTTCTTGCATATCGAAAATTCAACGCTCTTCTGCTAATCGATCGTTAATGCTGGACATAGTCGAGTCAACGTACCATAAAGTACCACAAATCTGCGCAGTGCCTAATTTCGCGCATTTAGCCAACATGTTGCAGATATTACGGTTTCGTCTAAATTTTTCCTATACACAAGTGGCCAATACCTATTTACATGTCGAATTTAATTCAAATTATTGCAATTAATCATGTTAACGTGCTTCTGTGTTAATTTCCCTTCAGATGTCATTGCTGTTCTTAATGGTGACATCTCAATACGTTTACACTTAGGTCTGTTAATTGTTAACAGAGGGCAGTGTGGTCAAAACATGTATGGTACCTCTATATATATACAGCTAGATTAACATCCGGAGTCCCTCCTTTTTTACATATTCTTCGACAAAAATAATTGCCATGCTCCGCCCCTGGATGGGAAATCTAATTGCATAAATAAGGGTTTCAACTTTTTTTCAAGGCTACACACAAAAAACAAATATTGTAGCTCTAAAAATTATGCAATTTTATATTAAAAGTTTCGCAGATTTCGTAGTTTTAACTAAGAAAATATTCAAAACGAAACTTTTTTTTTCGTTCAAAAGTGTTTCTTTCATTTTCGACTTGTAATTTTAAAAGTGGATTTTTTTTAAATAAAAATTGTATAATTGTCAAAAATACCTCTTAATTGCAAAGTTTTGGCAGCACTGCACCTTAGCTAAATTTTACACGTGCTAAAGTAAACAAGACGTAGCAGTGAGCAGCAGGAGTGCTTCCACTTGTCCAAATTTTTCTTCCGCCGGTTTATCTATGGCATTGGAATCGGTTCCTGCTACTAGCAGAGCGGTACACCACAACTCGAGCCACCACTAATTTCAACAAATTTCAGGTGTCAGCAACCAACGAAATAAGCTCAGTGTGCCTGAATGATCAGCGAGCAAGGGTTCCGCAAGTGTGACGTCCGGCTCGAACAAACATGCATTCTGATCCTGACAATTGGAACTGCTTATGGATCAACGCCACGAAATAGCTTCTGGAAATGTCGAAAGCTGCAATAAGTAAGAATAGATTTTAAAACCCTCACCGTCAGGAAATAACACAGTTTTTGTTGTATTTTTGAAGAAAAAACGAGCTTATTTCAACGGAAAAGGTAGGTTGTGAATCGGGAAGCGTACACGGCTAGCAAGCTGCTGATTCAGCCACGCTTGAGGCAGGAAGAAAATTCTCCGATGTACAACCCAATTGAGAAGCATACCAGGACGTTTATGCTAAGAAACTCGACTTCCTTAAGGAGCGAATCAGTCCGTAGAAAGGAAATCTTTGGAGGATTCCAAGGCCACTGCACCGACGCTTTAGGAAACCGGGTGGACGAAATGGTCCCAATAGAGGATGTCCGCAGCATCAGCTGATGAGATCAAATTCTTTCGGATAAATCAGACGGATGACCAGAGCAGCTTAGTCCGGAACCAGATAACGGAGTCCAGTTTTAATGTAAATAAAATATATTTAGTAATAAATCATTTGAATAGTAATAATTTTTAATGTAATACAAATTAGGTCTTAAAATGAAAATTTTACTGTAAAAATTAAAATACTTGTTTTTAAAATGAAAATATATATTTTTACGATCCGAAATACCATAGTTTCGTATTAAAAGTTGTTTTAATTAAAAAGATCTAATCCGCTTTTAATTTCAACATTCCCACGCTTTCCATTTGACAGTACAACAATTCATTTTGAAAGTTTTAACTTTTAAAAGTAGGGAACGAACAACTTTTGAATTAACAGTTGACTGAGTTTTGTTTTGAATGCTGAAGACTTTCTACCAAAAAGAACCAACGCAAACTTTTAATTTCACCAATGCTTTTTTTAATTTGATTAACGATAATTTTTTGTGTGTAGGTACTATATTTACTAGTCTGTGAAAGGAAATCACATATTTTGTGGTTTCAATATACATGGCATGTTCAGAGATTGAGCTCGTGAGAGCAAATTTTCGCTATTTAACTGTTTTGTCTTTCTTGAGGCTGTAGTAAAGCCGTTAAAAATAAATAATCACACTAAAGCTTCATGTTAGATAGCATTTCCAACCAACTCAGAAAATCGTAAACTTCACCTATGAAGCAACATTACAACACTTTAAATGACGTCACAATTGATAACAACTTGTGGTGCGGAGTCGATCACTATAAATTTTCAAGTTATTTTGCTTGAAAAATATAAATTTTCTTGCCTTTGTTTACATCCTCTCAACACAGCTCACTAAATCTTTTTTCTAGAGCATAAATGAGAATACGTTCATCCCAAGTAACAATTCAGTAACCATTTAGCATCCACTCTGATTTATGATGGTTTTATAACGGCAATGAACAATCCATTTAGTTTAAATAGAGCATTTTAAAGTGTAAAACATTCCTGCTTAGAAATTCAGCTTTTTGTTGTTTTAAAAACCTTTCATAGTCTGGCAAGAAAGTCAAAAACTGCCTTCTTTTAAAAATAAATTTAAAACAGTTATCAATCCCTCCTTAAAGCTGTTCTGTAATTCAAGCATAAACGTCATTAGCAAAAAAAAACTTTATAAACGTGTTCTATCATTATATAAGCAACCATAAAACAATTAGGTTTTGCATTAGAGAAAAAAGCATTTATTGTTGCTTTTTAGCCGTTTTAAAGTGCATCATTAACTCACCAATTACTTTGTTTACAAATTGAGCTTAAAAGATAATTCCTCATAGTTAATAAATGCCAAATTAATGACAAGGAAATCTCGAAGGATAGACGAAGTAGAATGAAGAAATCAAGTCAATTTCAGATAAATTTACTTCTTTAGAAGAACCAGCACACCACCAACGACTGACGATCTGTCGGACAAGAGTAAAGTGAGCGGGGCCCTCGAACTCATAAAACATTGTCTAAAGTTGAAAAACATACCAGCCTTCTCCAGATCTTGCGATGACAATCGAAATAACAACCGACAGCAAACCACTGAATCTGTTGGTTAGCGTAGATCAGCTGGTTTCCGATCCAACGCAGCGATTTTATTCGGCGAAAGACTCTTCGAAAATTTCATTCAACCGTACATCTCTGCATCATTGGATGGTGCACTTCTGTAACCATCCGGAAGAAGGGGATCTTTTTCAGGAACGATTGCGCTTCCAGCTGTTCGAAAAGCTAGTAGCTGCTCCCAATCCATCGGGAGAAAACCGTCTGGAAGAATCCTGGATCTCACAGCGCAACTATCGAAAGATAAACAAACTTTGACGTTTAACTTTTTGCAGGCAACTTTGCCTCCATTAATGCTGCCATAAATCTGAACGGGTTAGGATCAAGCAAAATGGCTTTAGATAAATACAATTCAGCCTGCAAGTTTTCTTCATAAAAGCCATTTTAAAACCTTATGAATTTGTTAAGGAATTCTTGAAAGCAAAACAACTTTTTCACAAATGACCCATGAAAATCAACTTTTATGCCACCGCCATGTTACAATTAGTTTGCTTGTTTTTTACAATCTTCGATTTTCAATCAACATTTCCTTAGATATAACTATATTTTGGTAAACTTAGCAATGAGCAAACATTTAAATGCGAAAATAATAAAACAAAATCTCGGCCAAGCTCGATCTGAAGAATATATTGTTTTTACAATTTTAAATAATTGGTCAAATCGACGTTTTACGAGGGTGGACTTAATTTTTTCGATGTTTTCACGTACATTTCACATACAATTTGATATGGCACTTAAAACTAGGCCACTTAATGAGAACTATTGTAATAAATTTGGATATTCAACAAGATTTTTGTATCATCAGTTTCTATTTTAATTATTTTGAAAAGATCGGATTCATAAATCCTTTTCTATCTTGATTAATGCTTTCCTAGCATGCGGCTAGGAGAAACGGCTCGGAAAGGGTTTTTATTGTTGCTAAATAGCTTTTATTTTAGCTTTCAAATGGTTCTCAACGCGTTCGTCATACAACCTTTTGCAGTAAATCAATCTTGAAGAGCTTCGAGAATACACCCTTCAGAACCTTCTCCAGGGTGGGCAAACTAGACATATTCTAATCTTAATGAGGTTATGGTGGATGCATTAATGACAAAATAGCCTTGACCAGGGTTTTATGAATGTTGTTTTATAGTTGCTTTGCAGTATTTCATAAAACTTAAAATGTTACTTGGGATGTCTTGTACATTATTTTATTACAATTGCTTGAATTAGCCAATATTTTGCATACTTCGATATAAGCCAAGGGGTGGTCACTCTACACACTTATTTTGTGCCAACATTTTTCTCAGTGTACCTCAGTGTGCCGCAGCTGTACAGGCAGTGCCAAGAAGTCATTGAAATGACTTTTATTTGCTTGTGAATACTGCCTTGTTTGGCAACCCGGTATTTTAACAGCTCTTGTTTTTGTTTTGTTGTTAATGTTTTCAAAAACGACACGGACTCCAGGTGAGACTACACACTGGTTGCATCCGTCTCTAAGGATGCCTGCAACGGACAAGCTACACACATAATCTAGCTCGGTAAAATCTCCAACAGCCGATTACCTCGGCATTTACTTTTGCTGATATCTCTGCAAAATATCTGTTTGTTAGCTGATATCTCAGCAAATGTTATTTGTTAGCTGAGTCTCGGCAATTGTTTTACTGAGTCTCAGCAATATAAATTGCAGAACTACTCGGCTGTTGGAATCTCGGCGAAAAAATTTAAGTGTGTACGTTGCTACACGAACCTTCCATCTTCGGCAGCCCTTCTGGGAGCCGGTGGAGGAAACGGATTTGTATCGATTTTTTTTACCGCCCGAGTATCATCCGTCGGTAAACTGGAAACCAACACCGGCCGGACCACACGTCAGACTGACGAAGGGCCCGACCCGATGATGGGAGACGCCATCGCAGTCGAACCAGTCGAACGCAGCATCCAGCACTTGAACAACATTGAATTAGCAAAATTCAAATAGCATTTTCCAAGCAGAACTACTTGTCAAAGTCCACCAACCCGTATACTCTGCCGGAAAATTCGATCATTTTCAAGGTTTACAGCACCTCCAAGAACAATCGCTTCCATTCCCGAGCAAGCTTCTCCACTTCTTCAATACCCCACCCGGTATGTCCGAGGATCTGCTTCTGACTGCATTCACCACCTCCTCCTTCCTCTTTCGGATTAATCGAGTTCCCGAGTGAAGCCCTGGCGGTGTACGCTGATGAAGTGCAACCACAGTGCGATCGACCACAAAGGCACAAAATTCCCATTTATTATGAAGCTGTGCTTTTCCTCCTCCAAGTCTATGAAGGGTGCGTGGAGCAACGAGAACATCGAAAACACGTAAGCTTGGAAAGGGCGGAAGCTTCTTTTTCTGAGAAAAGAAAGAAAGGATTTTCCTTTTTCTGGGTAGTTAATGATTCTTAATTATAATTTCTTATTGTGTTAGTTGGAAGTGTAAAAAGGCAGGAGAGTAAAAATAATTTGTTGAACTATTTGAGATTTTGACAAGACGGTCCTCCAACATTATATATTGGACGATGGAATGGTTGGTGTAGCAGCCACCGCCATGGATGTATTCGAGCAGTTCGAATGGTCGAATGGTATAGTTTTTGTTGGTTGTTGACTTTCCGATTAAAACTCAAGCACGATTTGTCGTGACCGGCCCAAGATTTCCAGCACCGGCCACGGCTACACGAATTAGCGATGCAGCTTCCACGGCTGCGGGTGCTTCCAATGCTGCTGCTGCTGTTCCTTCTGCTGGTGCGTCTCCTATAAAATTCGTCAGAAAAGTCGGACCAGCAGGAGCATTGGAAGCAGCCGCAGCCGTGGGACCTACATCGCTAGTTCGTGTAGCCATGGCCTGAAACCTCGGTCAGGTCAAGATACCGCTATCAGCTGTTCTTCGTCTAGGAAGAAATGTGGACGCGACTGCCGTCACGGGTGTAACGATTGTGAGACTTGGTTGTTGAGATTCACGGTTGTGTTTTGAAAATAATTTGATTATATTGCGGCAACATCAATAACAAATTATGACACATGCAAACTGCGCTGGCACAGAAAAAATTCAGTGTTGCCAGTTACTTTAAAGATCAAAAAGAATTGTAACCATGGGTGCCAAACAGCTCCAATGACTACACCCGGCTGTGCCCAAGTTTGATTTTGGCACACTGTGTAGAGTGACCAACCCCTTGGCATAAGAAGAAATATCATACCATAAGAAAATCATCCGAAATTCGAATGCATATTGTTAAAGGGCTCGAGCAATGCAATAATCATTCGAAGTATTGCGGATGTTTTGGTTCAGTGTACGTTAAAGGGCTGGTACACTGAACCAAAACATCCGCAATACTTCGAATGATTATTGCATTGCTCGAGCCCTTTAACAATATGCATTCGAATTTCGGATGATTTTCTTATGGTTGAATTCGTCGTCAGATGATGAACATCCATATGACTGTCATCCAAATACAGGATGATTTTCGTTTGAAAATTAGCTATAAAACATACGGCACTCAGAGGACAAACATTTAAGAATGTTGTGACATGCAAGTGCTTTTAATTAGATTTATAATTTGATTATCTACATTTCTATGCTGAATAGCCATAACAACCCGAAAAAAAAATTACAGTGAAATTTTCAGTGGAAACAATGCTCTAACATTAATATTTATTGTCGACAGTAAAAATGATTGTTATAATATTGTACCCTTTCGAAAACGGCAAAACTCCTACCTATAATTTTCGTCTTATTGTTACATTGTTTTTTAATGTATGTTTGTTGTTATTTTTTTTCGGGAAGCCATTCCATTATGGATACAAAATTTTTTCGTGGTGAAGGAAACCTCCACCACGAATTAGCCAAACATTGGTTTTCATCCTTTACCTATGTTCGAAACAGCTCTGATAGCGATGCATATGCTTCCACCTCTTTTGTCAGCTCAGATCAGCAAATGACATTCGATAGAATTATTTACATCATCGTTTTGAATGATTTGCGTTATGGGGCTGAACCAATACCATAGGCATTTCCATTTAGTATGACAGTCATTCTGAAGAGAGCATTACGCATTTCAACTGAAGGCCCTATCCCTTCTCATAACAATTTTCATCCTGTATTCTAGAGGAAATCTCGCGTAACATTTGAAAAGGGCCTATGATCAAAATGTAAACAAACAGATTTTTGATACCATTCTGTACCACTGGTAATTAGCTACCAGTCGTATAGAGATTGCTAAAGTATGACTGTGTAAGTGATTTGTTTTCATCGGGAAAATTTTCCGCTATGAAGTTTTTTTTCCCGATGAAAACATTTTCCGTATACGTATACGTGACGCACACTACGTACGATAAACGTCAGCAATCTCTATAGGAATGTTCCGCATTATCGATAAAAATCATTAAAAATAACTTGATTTTAAAAACGGCCGATCCACGAAATTTTTCCAATCATTCATGCTAAAACGGCCTAACCTCGGGCCTAACATATATTTTTTTTCGTTCGATGAGGTTCCATTCATAAGCCTAGCGACGTAGAAGGGCCGATGATTGAAAAATTTCAAATCAAAGCTAGGCCCTACTGCTTGAGGCAGGGCCGATGATTTATTTGACGTTAAGAAAAGGCTTAGCAAAGGGCCTACAATTTATGATGACAAGCACAACGGCTTAACAAAAAGGGCCTAACCTTTTAAAGATTCACTAAAAGGCTTATTACTGTGATATTAATTTTTTATCGATTTTCATGTATTTTTGAAAACGTTTCGCATGTTTTGGATGTTGTGTACTGAGATATAGTTACTATTGTTATTGTGAACAATATAAATGCCTAAAATACTTAAATTTATTTATATAGGAATTAAATACTGGCGGAAAAATTTACAATTCATTTTCTGGATTGTTTACATTTTGGACATAGGCCCTTTTCAAATGTTACGCGAGAAATCATCTGATTTCAAAACAACCGTCATCCGTTGCAGGTATCATTCGAAAAAGCGATTTCGGTGATTTGTTTTGAATGGTCTGAGGTTTCATTCGATCAGAGGATGATGTTTGTGTACAGTGTACGTTGGAATTAATAGTACGTTCAGACTACAGAGTTATAACATGTTATAGCGCTATCTTGATGGTGGTTTCTATGTTGCAATTATTTGACAACCGTTATAACATGTTATAACTCTCCAGTCTGGACAGCGTTTAACATTCTGAATTATTTTGAGATTCCTACCCCTTAAAAAAACTACAATCGAATGTCTTCTTAATCATTTCCCAAAATACGTTAGCTTGCTTCATAAAACATACGCAAGTAGATACTACTTACCGTTCGTGACATGCAGGTAGTATTTTTTCCCAATTTTACTCTTAATTTTCACAACGAATTCACAGAACAACTTGTGATCAAATTCCTGGCGAAAACTCTTTCAACTTTTACGAAACGTCAACAAAACTTGTGACATCGGCCAGTGAATCGTAGATATTTCTTTCGATACATTCCAGATCCGTTTCATTTGTACTGGTCCATTTGTTGTGTTTGTTGTTTCTTGCTTCCTTGTTCCTCGCAAGCCTTCGAGCTTTGTGTGAGCGAGAAGGAAACATCGTTTGCGGACTAGCCTGGGTCTGCGCCTGGATGGAATCGATCCGTAATCCGGACCCGAGAAGAAAACAACACAAAACGTCAAGGAAGTTGGTAGTAAAAAAAAGTGTTTCGATCCGCAGGAAAAACGCAGTTCGCAGGATTCCGGAAGTGGTTGGAAAAGTTTGCCTGTTTTTCTTCCCAAATCGCGGCGGTTGATCGGTTAGTGATGTCGAATGTGTGCCGGGGGTAGCGTTGATTGGTTCCGTTTCCGTGGAGTGAGTCGGGGAAGACGAGTCAGGTTTCGAGTTTGCTGCCCTGGGGAGACGACATTCTGCTGCAGAAGCAGTAAGAGTAAGGACGATTTTTGTTTACAAGAGTTTTTACACCGAAGGTGTAGAGGTAAAAACAGGACACGCATCGCCGTCGGAGTAGGTGACAAGGAAACAGGAGGGCGGAATCGCAATCGATTTGTGACGGAGTTGCCGAGTTTACTCGTGAGGAAAATGATTTTAGCCGGAGTGAAATGTTGCCGCGGAATCGTCATTTGCTAAAGTGATTGCAAAATCGACGGGAACGGGTTGGATTTGCGATTCTCGATGACCTCCATCAACACACTGAGGAACGGCTTTAGCGCTCCAGTTCACCATCACAAAGTGAGTATACTGTTTCTTGCTACTAGCTGGTGTAGGGGAAATAATATTTTTATTTATATTGCGCTTATGATCCGTGACCATCAATCATAAGAAACAGTGTTTTCGAAGAAACTGGAACAGTCGGCGATGGTGTTATCTGAATTAGATGAACTCTATTTTTAGATTTACGTCGGAAGTCAGTCTCGGTTTGCCATTCTGCAAGTGAAACGATTATCCCAAGGCTAGGAAGTTGTCAAGTGTCATTTCAAGTTTTCCGGTTCTTCTCGTTTGTGACAGAGACGTACATTGAAAACGCCCCTTTCAGGTACAAAATTTGCGGTAATAAAATAAAGTGATGACTAACGAGTGAGATTATTACTGAAATATGTAGCACATTACACAGTTATTTTTAAATTTGGTAGCGTTAGATTTAATACCCAAGGAAAAGGTCGCCCTTCCCTTCGCAGTCTCTGGGTTCTGGTGCAGGTACTACCTACGTGTATGCAGAATACATCCTTTCCTTTTGGTCCAATAAAAATGTTCCTCTTCAGGTAACACTGCTCTCTGCAACGTTGCTCTGGGTTCACATCACATCATTGATTTATTCATGTTCGTTTCCTTCCTCCTACACTGCCTTGGGAGGACGAAAGAAAATACTGCAAAGTGAGTGAGGAAAATCATGCCGGGACCGGTGCGCCGCCGGTGGGCCGGAAGGGAGATGACGAGAAAATCGAAAAAAAAATCGTTGTTTTGATACATGTGCGCACTGTGTTGATGATGATTTATGACTCGAGACTTGGGCCATTTTATGATTTTTCGTGCTGTCGTTTGTTACTTTAATTATAAATGAGCTTCTTTTAGGTTTGTCACCTTTTGATAAGTTTTGCGTGATTGGAAAAGTTGCTGCCGGGTTTATCGCAAAATGTGGTAAAAAATGAGCAGCTTAGTTCTGTCTTCCTATGATATATGTATAGCGAATTTGTTGTTTTTGGTTGGAAGCCGAACTTTTTATCAGTGCGAACCTCAACTTGAGGTATGTAGGTTTAAATACATAATAATCAAACTGACGTTTGTCAGGAAACTGGCCGACATAATCTTGAAACCTCGTTCCAGGTTGTAACTGAATCACAAAAAAAACGGTAATAGAGAGAAGCAACTAGGAACTATGATTAGGAACAAAATTTACGGAAGCCTTTTCTCATACGATACACCAAAATGCGCTCGGAATTCTTCCTAGAAGCTATTCTCAGATTAAGGGTTTCCTTTAAATTAATTGGGTTTGTTAATTTTGAATTATGTACCTACCGTCTATCAGTTTTTAAGAGAAGATACTGAGAAGCGATTATCATGCCGTATCTGACAGAGCTACTTTTTCTGAGCTCAATGGATTTTACATAGACTTTTGTCTCGATTTTTAAATGAATTAAGCGATTTTTTTACTATGCGGGTTGGAACTGATTCCTAACTTTCTGTCAGTGCTAACCTCGATCTGAGGTATCTAGGTTTAAAAACGATCAAACTGACGTTTGTCAGAAAACAGGCAGATCCAATCTTGATATCTGATCCAGGTTGGACGTGAATCAAAAACAAATTCGGTGTAATAAAAAAGCTTGGATTATTCCAAAACATGCATAACTAAAGAATTGATAGCTCCCCTAATAGAGTATCTTACTGCCTATAATCGCATGTCAGTTCCATATGGATTTTCGTCAATTTTGAGATAACAACGCTATCCACTATTAATATTGATGTGATAAAACAACGGACTTTGATCATGAAAAATGTGAAAACAACATCAAGTCAGGTGTCCCATCAAAGTAATCGCATATCAGTCCTATTATGATATTCAATCGTCCAGAGGCCAGTTACAGACGCTGCTTTTTGAATGGATCACTTTGTCAAGCAGTTTCAGTGGTAAAAAACCGGGGGGGGGGGGGGGGGGCGACTCTATCTAAGATGCTGGAAAAAATTTGTTTGCTGTTGTGAGATACGCCCATACTAAGTAGATAGAAAGAAGATTGATGAAGATTTTAAAGATTTTCTGCAAAAAGATGGAAAGCGATGTGAGTAGATGGCTTTAGATGCAAAAGATGAAAAAGGATTTTTCGTGTATTGATTCGCTTGTGTGAGATTTTTCAACCATCCAAAATTGAGATTTAGATGTGTTGCACCCTCAGAAAAAAAAGCACACATTTCTCGCGTCACTTTTCAAATAGACCAATGTAACATATCCACCATTTTGAGAAAATCGAAGTTGAAGTTCGACAGATTATTAATTTAACTGTTTAGAAACAATACATTTTGCAATACTATTTTTAATGTAGCCAGTGTATAATAAAGTTGAAAATTCAGAAGAAACGGTAAAATCACAATTTTACTTTGAATTTCATGCTACAACATAGAAAAAACCACATAGGACGTTTTGACAAGTAGAGTTGTACATCGGACATGTTACATTGGACGATTTTTCTCAATGACATAATCAATGAGTGTTACATTGGACGTTTTGTCTACATGATACTAGATTCCCTTGCACAGATTTCAGAGTATAGTACCTAACTTTAGATTGGCCCCGCCTTTGAAAAATGAGCACCAATCATGTTAGGCAGTCCGAATGACCGAAGTAACAATCATGTACCCATCATTTCAAACTGTACATTGGACAATTTTTTACCTATGATTATCTTAAATAAATGAAAGTGAATTTGGATGGATGTTTTTGTATGACATACAATGATAGAAGAGCAACAGTTTGTATCGCTTAACTCGGTTTGTTTACATTTGTTACATTGGTCGATTTGAAAAGTGACGCGAGATTTTGGCTACTTTTCTCGTGGTTCTAGAAGAAAAATCTCAAAGTATTTCGAAGTTCGAGTGGTAGTAAACGTTATTTTAGTTGCTCGAATGAAGAGGGCAATTGCCATATTGCTCGTCGATATAACAAAACATGCAAGCTACATTGCAACTGATTTTAGCTCGAAAAAAAGATTACTCTAATTTTTCAAATATTGCGCTTTGTAAGTTCACCACCGACAAACCGACATGACACTTAATCACCGACAAACCGACATGAATGACTATACAAAGTATCATCACATTTCTGATCAAAGCACAAAACTGACATCTGTCTGTTTATCTAGATAAAAAATTTCTATTGTTTTGACAGATGGTATCGCTGCACATTTGAATCCGCCGTTATGGATTCTCGATCAAGAGTTAAGTTTAAGTTTCAAGACGGTTTGTCGGTGACTTAATTCTGACTTATGCCCGAAAATTGTAAACGGCCGATTTAAATGTGCAGTGATCCGAACTGTCATAGGATTACATAGGATTTTTGATCTAGATAATAATAATAACAAATAATTTGTCCAGAATAGATCAGACACGAATCAATTTATAACTTTTGCATGCGGGTTCATGGCTTAGCTAAACATGTCCCGCGAATATAGAGATTTTCACGTCCAGTTGTATTGGTACGATATATGAGAGCGTGTTAGTGAATATCCGAGGAAAATACATAACAAATCGCTGTCAAACTCATTTTGACAGATCTAATATCATACATTTTTTAGGTTATCCAGAGGACAATAATAAACAACTTTACACAGCGATCCACCCGCTAGTGTGCGTGCGTTAAACGTCACTAATCTCTATGGAGCCAGATGTCAGTAGAGTGCTTTAGTCATAAATCAGGCGTAACATTTGATAACGGCACAAAAGCATTTGTAGACATACTTTTTAAGACCCTTTACACGCGAACCAAAGTACGCCCACGCAAACCAATACCACTTTCGAAAAGATCAGAGTTGCCCCTATCCGATAATGTTGTTGGTTTGCGTGAACGTACTTCCACAGACAAACAGACATAACACATTGAATATTTATCACTATAAAACATCGTCGCTAAAACATTTCCGCCATCTGTTGAACACAGTGTGGTGGGTAGTACGCTGAACAGATGGCGGTAGTGTGTAAACGTCAAACGCAAGGGAATTAACTATGCGCGCCACAGGTGGCGGTACTACCAACTACGATACTTTTAAATTGACCGTTAAATGCTTGTTCGATGAACAACTTGCGAGTGTTATGTCTGTTTGTCTGTGGTACTTCGATGTATGTAAAGGGCCTTAAAAAGTTTATTTACAAAAGCTTTTGTGTCGGTATCAGATGTTATGCCTGAAATTTTATTGTTTTTGTTATGGTCATTCATGTCGGTTTGTCGGTGAGTTCACTGCCATTTTCTCAATGAAAACTTTTTTCATATGGGACAGATATGCGATTGTATCTGGGGGTGCAACACATCTAAATCTCAATTTTGGATGGTTAAAAAATCTCACACAAGCGAATCAAAACACGAAAAATCCTTTTTCATCTCTTGCATCTATAGCCATCTACTAACATCGCTTTCCACCTTTTTGCAGAAAATCTTTAAAATCTTCATCAATCTTGTTTCTATCTACTTTTCTTTTTTCCTTGATTTTGTTTTCCGTCGATCTTGTTTTCCGTGCTGAGCACCAACCAATGCTACCGACGCCAGGGAGGCAGCTCCCACACCTGGACCCTACCTATCGATCCATCAACTCATGAACCGGGGACCAACGGCTTTACTTCCCTACCGAAGGAGGGCGTGATCAGAGGTGTTATGCCTCAGAACATCCCGGTGGCGCAGACTGGGATTGAACCCAGGCCTGCTGGGGTGAGAGGTAATCAGGCTTACCACTACACCACCAGCGCCGCTTATTTCTATCTACTTAGCGTGCGCGTATCTCACAAAAGCAAATACATTTTTCCAGCATCTTAGATCAAGCAATCAATTTTCTATCTCTTATAGTTTTTTACTGGTAGCACAGACAAACAGACATAACACATTGAATATTTCTCACTGTAAAACATCGTCGCTAAAGCATTACCGTCATATGTTGAGTACACTGTGGTGGGCACTACGCTGAACAGATGGCGGTAGTATGTAAACGTCAAACGCAAGAGAATTGACTATGCGCGCCATCACTGGTGGCGGTACT